AGTTGTTTACATCTGTGCTGGTGGAGAATGGAGGGATGTGTGCTGCAGTGAGGGGTTGTGTGTGTTTGCAGCTATTGCATATGATGGTTGTGCTGGAAGATTACCTTGAGGTTTGGCCAGGTAATACACCATTTGTGCAGTCTCCCTAATACAACCAATGAAATTGTTCCATGCAGATTAGCTGTAGACCAAGGGTGGTAATTGGTTGAGTTATCTCTGAAAGCACAATGGTCTAGGACTCTTGGCATGGCATAGACATGTGCCTTACTGTAGCTGTATGCCACAGGGATGTAATTAAACTCAAATGGCTGAGAACTTAAATTGGACAGTAACATACCATAAAACCAAGTGGATTATTCAACCAGGTGATATTCTCAACAAAGATCTCTCACACATTTGTAGCTGTTTCCACTGCTTCACACTGACTCAGACATTTTAGGCTCCAGATGACACTCCAGGAATCTTTTTATAAACTGTATTTGTATTACGATAGCACCTAGGTGGCCTTGCTACGGACCCGAACTAAATTTCTAGGCACAATACAAACACAAAACCAAGACAGTCCCTGCCCCAAAGATCTTTATAATCTAAGTACAAGACAAGACCATGCAGACAACTTGACATGACAGGGAAGGTGCTCTCAGCTGTAAAAGTGGCCAGCAAAGGTTGGTCAGGAGCATTGTGGGATGCCGCTGGGAAAATCAAGTAAACCAACACAATTACATAATTTGCACTTGCTGCCTATGCTAGCTCTGCACTGGTCGGGGACATCAGCCTTGCTCAGAGCAAATGTAATTTCAGAAGTGGTCTGAACACCTGTGCACTGGAACTAGCAACGCTGAGGATTGATGTGTGGTGTTACAAGCCTGCCAGGAAATTACAATGGTAATTTTTTTTAGCGTAGGTCCAAGGTGCATTCTCCAACAGGACTGTGCCCAACTCTCCTCCTTATTCCCCAATGATATAGACAGCACTGTCACAGATATGGCAATTTCCTGCAACATCCTGGACAAACTTTACTGAATTCAATCTTTTAGGAGTTCACTGTATTTATCTATTATGGGACTGTGATGTCTCCGGTGGGGGGAAGACACATGACTAACGTAAACCCTGAGAAGTGTTATGCATTTCAAAGGATAAAATGTAGGGCCATACCAAATTTACGGCCATGAAAAAAC